GTGACAATAGAGATACCTGACGGAAGAGAGGTTAGGAGATTTTTACCGCTTATCTTTCCCCATCGCGGATTACAGGTCTGTTCTCTTCGAATTGACTTGCACTTTCCTTCCCTTTCGAGTAAAATGAATACAGTTTCAAAGGAAACGCTTTTCCTCCATTTCCCTTCCGGAAAGAAAGATTTGTTTCCAAGCCTTGAAAACTGTAGACATTGATATACAGGGTGAGGCGATAATTTATGGACTAACCTTGAATCCCTTCGAAACTTAAGAATAGGAGACAAATTCGCTCGACGGATATTGCATCGATACCTTCGAACACTGTCTGTAGATGTAAATCTTTCTCACGCTTCCATCTGTAGTCGTTAATGAAATATTATTTTCTCGAGATACTCGAGATGGTTATTGCCCCGCCCTGTATAATCGAGTATTAAAGGGGAAAAGAGCAACCGGTGCGGTTCCCGGCCTCAACTATGCCCTCTTTGTGGCTTTAACTATAAAAAATAATAGTGACGAAATGCATGTAAGGTTATTATATCACTGGCACTAATCTATTCTTATACATTTTTCTACTGATAAGTTTATACCGGCGAGGCTTTAGCCACTGGGGAAAAAAATTGATCATTGTTTGCACGTCACCACGAAAATGAAAAAAACCGACGAACTTTACGGTAGTTATCCAACCTTCCTTTCCCCCTACTGGAAAACAATCGTTCTATAATTCTCTATGACGATTGCGGTTACAGTTAATGCCAGGTATTTCTCTCTCAGTGTGGTGAAACGTACGCGAGCGCGCGTCGAACTCACGCGAAGAGGTTAGCATCCTTCTTCTTCTTTCCCGGTTGAAACCAATTGCGAACGCGATGCTTCTTGCCACCGGTCACCTTCTTCGGCTTGCGATGGTCGCGAAACATACTGGAGCTGCGCGGGAACATCTCGCTCTTTCTCCCGGGCCGCTGAAGTGTGCAAAATAAGACGCCACGGGTGCGAAAACGCACCGCGGTCGCACCACGTGTCTAAACGGCTCTCATCGCGCTCCGACTTTGTGCTTTTAATCTAACGCCCGCGGAGTGTTTAACTGCGCGTCATCGCGCGATCGCTCATGATTACCCGCGAGCGTTTCCGCGACGAACTCGGAAATCGCGCGTGGAAATCGTATGGAAACTCGCGCCACACTGACAGAGCCTGGCAGCCGCGACTTGACCGCGGCTGGATAAAAAGAGAAAGAGAGAGAGAACGACCTGCGGCTTCGTGTGCGTGCGCTACGATCCGAGTAACTGTACACGTAATCTGTCTGTGAATGTGCGTAGCGTAACGTCGCATGACGCGATCATCAGCGATGGCTACGAGCGAGCCACGAGCGGCCGGTTTGCGCGTGATTCTATCCCGGAGCGCGAGTAATGTTAATTTCATTCCGCTCATTAGAGAGCTAATAAACCTTCTTCACGCTCGTACGTGGGTTTCGCCCATCGCTTCTCATGGCGGAATTAAAGGCGAGACCAGTGATAGAATCCCCGACATGACGGCATCCGAGAAGCGTAAATGATGAACGATGCGTCTAATCGTTCGCGTTCGCACAGTACCATTCGTATGACACATCCTTGATCTCAATTTATCGAACGGTGAGCGAGGATCTCGCCGATTCTTCGCGTTCCGCACGGTCGGACATGGCCAGTTTCGGAATCGGACGGATCTCATCGGCGACCAAACGCGATCTGGCACTCTCGACCGGCCTCGGAGAGACGTTAAATGCCGCGTAACATTCCCAGATAGGATCTACCGTTCCTCCGCTTTCTATCGAATGCAAATAATCCGACCGGAGCATATTTTATCGTGTTAAATTAGCGACGCCTATTACTTGGTGAGAAAACGCCGGCAAAGCGAAGCGTCTCCCGCCTCGCGAGATCTTCGTTGAAAATTAGTGGATTTCAAGTTGCAGAAATAAGATCGTCTCTACTTCAATGACAATTACGTTTACGGATGGCATTTTGATAACGCTATTTTGCCGCTTTACGCTCCACATTCGGTGTGTAATTTAACGGAACAATGTATCCGCGTACGTCGAGCCACGGTCAAGGTAGTCCGGTCCTCTCTCGTCGCGTACATTTTGCAACACTCGTGTGGGACTCTCGTTAAATCCATTCTCCTCACGGACGCGTTCCCGGCTATATTCGGCGAATCCTCGATTATTCGTTAGTGATTGCGTTAAACCGTTACGTAAGGAGAATGCGGGACGGTTAAAAGCGTGGGATCAAAGTCGGGTAAAATGCGAAAGCGAATGATATTGGGCGGTACAGGAAAATCACAGACAATAAGAACGAAATTGCGGGTCTAATTTGCATGTGTTTGCAGTGAAGTGTACACGCGGATCAATCAATCAATTTGACTCTTATCGTCCGTTGCGTAAAATTGCATAAAGTTTTGCATCTTAATTAGAAAGCCTTTACGATCATTTAATTGAGAATATCGGGCAGTTTATTGGCGATTATGATGGACCAAAGTCGGTGACGAAGGATACAAACGTGAGACAAATCATTCCGTAATATATTACACGTAGAGTCGAACCGCTGCAATTCTGCAGCGCAGCGGGTGCCGAATTTCGATTTCCACGGCTGCTTTCACGCCGGAATTCCATCACTTCTCTCTCTCTCTCTCTCTCCCGCTGCCGAATATCAAATAAAAGTGTTTGCGCTTCGTCGAAACGTACGCTCCTTTCTCGGCGGAGCGTCGCGCCTCCTTTTTGAGGCGCGCATGTAAACGTGGTCGATATGAAACCGGTTCTCAAGTAGCGAGAGAAGCGTGCGAGGATAAAAAATCGGGAACTCCTGCGCCACAACGTCGCGTCCCCCCGAAGAATATCCCGTACAAATTATAATAGCCGCTATTTGTTCGCGCGCGCGCACGCGCGAAAATTCTTCCCGCGGCTTTCCGCGCGTGCAGAATCGCTTTCTTCGGCACTGTTTTCGCTTCACGGCGGCCGCGTTAAATCGAGTATACGAGCGGATGAATACAAAGGACAATCAGCGAATGCTAACTTTCGTTGCTACAACTTGGAAGACGCGCCATAACGAATCTGAAGAGAACATTTCGGGCTGATTTGTTCATAAAGTGGTTTAAGAAAGAAAAATTGCGTTTAGACGCTGATGTATTGCATGTTCGTTGTTCGTTCGTTTAGCAAATAGAAAAAGCGTACCCAACGAAAAAAGTGCTAGGATCAAGTAAACGTAGTTGCCTGATTTTCAGTCTCTTAAATTGATATTTTTGCCGATGAATGTGTTTTAATTGAATTAAGTTCGCAGTAAATACTTATTTGAACGCAATCATACCTTAATTTGTAAATGAATTATTGAAGTGTAAAATGATTCCAATTTTGAGAAAATATTTACTACAATTATGTAACACTTCTTTTCCATTGAAGGAACTTAGTGGCTTAAATTTGGGTAGAATATTCTTGGATTGAAATTTAGAATAGATTTTTCTGCCCGGTGGATATTTCCTAAAAGCAGAAATTCTGATATTCTCAATATCATGAACGTTTGTCACAATTGTTTTAACACATACGTAAACGTCCACCTGCGCGAAGAAAATATCCTATTGCACATAGTTAATTACATGTCTACTTCTGGCAAATATCTGCCAGGGAGTGTATGGAGTGACCATTTCACTTGGATCAAGTAAATATCACTCGAACCGGTGGCACTTCTTTTTTTCGCACCTTTACGTGCGTCAAAAACAGGTCGACGATGAGCGTCTGCGTTCCCGGAATTCGAATGTCGCACGGTAACAATGCGAGACTAAAATCCGTTCTCTCGACAATAATTCTTTCACTATGCCGTCACAGTTACAAATACACGAGACACCTTTTTCTCAGTGTAGTCACGCGTCGCGAGGAAGATGACTCCCTCGAGACGGGCGTCGAGACGACGCTCGGACGCGAGCCGAAAGATGAACCGCAACTCCGACGGCGATCTCGTCGGCGCGCCTCTCCAATTCCCCGCGTCATTTCGGCACGTGGCTCGCGCGCACGTACGGGGTGTTAATTTCGCGGAAAATTCGCGCACACCCGTCGTCCGCTCGCCGAATGGCACGCGTCGAGTTACGCCGAGTGCCCGTTTCCGAGAGACACACTACACCGCCGCCGGCATTTGAGGCCGCACACCGAGGACGAGATATCGCGTTCAAGGGAGAGCCGGAATATTTAGCGTTAAGGTGTGTGCTGGCCCGTACCGCGAATGTCAAGCAGACCGTAACAGAAAACTTTTGTACGTTGTCCATTGTCTCGGTTAAACCTCCAGAACCGGAGATGGAGTCTCGCGAGCGGTCGCTAAATCTAACGAGTGCATCACACCGATACGCAGCGGAGCACCTCGACGAAGTGTTCGTTTCGACGAACACGATTCGCACCTCGGCACGAATCTCTCCCCAAGGTCTTTCCCCAAATTTTTCCATTCCACCGTATGCGACGAAGAATCCCGGGTCAGACCGTGTGAATCACGCGAGTCGTGGTCTTACGTTCGCGTCAGAATGACGATTTCTATCCCTGGAAGAGAGAGACGGAGAGCGAGTTCAGTCACCGGGCGAAATTACGAGTTGTCCTTGTTTTATCTCACGCCTACTCGGATCACGCTCAACGAGAGGCTCTTTAAATAAAAGGCGGGGGGGGGGGGGGGATTTTAAATGACTCTAAAGAGAGGGGGAGAGAAAAAGATAAACACCTGTTCGCGTTTACTCTCGTGTCTCGATGATAGCGGCCCGATCGAAGATGTTTATCCGCAAACGTCTTTTTCGAATTCGACTTATTTGCTTCTCCTCGGCGAGAACGACTACGTAAACGCGTAATGACGGTCCGGGAGACGTGTGCTCAGAGGAATCTTCGCAACTTCGACGATAAACAAAGTATGATCGCGGTCAAATAACGAACGCGTAATATCACGCACGCGTCCTACATGCACACACAGCCGTCCATATAACGTGTTCATGAACACACACGGTTGTGCACTCACCTGTCGGACGTGCTCGGCATTTCGTGCGTGTAAACATCGGCGCGGGTGATGATCGTGTCTCTCATCCTCATGTCGTCTCTCATTCTCAGTCATATGTCCGGAACGGAAGGATTACGGCTCGCACTATCGTGCACTATGTCGTCACGTGACACTTGTTATTCGCTCTTTTCTTCTCACCGCCCTGCGTCGGCGAGATTTTTGGTCTTTTTACCGCGCTTCGTGTCCCGCCGCCACGTCGGAGGAAAAGGACGCACTATAACGCACGGCCGTGCACTACGTCGCCGCTCGGTATTTCTGCAATTGGAAGGAGAATTATCTCACTCTTGAAACAGAAAAGAAAGAATCTTTTTATCAGTCAGAACAACGCCAATCTCTCTGGCCGGACGCGCTCGATTCGCGCCGCTGCGACGCACGTGGCGTAATAAAGATTTTCGGTCGGGAAGATCAGTGACGTTTGACGTACACATGCACACACATACACGCACACAGCCGGCCGTATCGAGACTTGCCGGCTCCGACTTACTGCTTACTCCATGACGACGACGACGCCGCACGTTGCGTAATAATGCTGACCGGCCGGCGGTGATTCGCGGAGAAACAAACGCGCGACGAGCCACTCTCTCGGCGCGGCACACGCATCGACAACGCGTGAACAACTGGCGACTATCGCCGTGGCCCATGGTCCGTGCCCGACTTGCGGTCTCTCCCCGGCTGCATCGCTCGTGGAACCCTCCTAAATCTCTCCACAAATAACACGTTCACCCCCTCCCTTTGTTCCAGCGTTTGCTACTCTCTGTCGGTGGGCCAACGGTGGACGCAAAACGTGAGCGTTTTCCACTCGGTCACTCGTCGAAGAAATGTCCGGCTTCTTTCGGTGACGTTAGATTTTGTTAGACGCTCATTATCCCCGATACGGACGCACGTAGATTAACGTTAATCGCAACTTAAGCTAACCTTCGGTCTTTATCTCTATCTCTCTCTCTCTCTCTTCAGAGACGATCTGATTAGACGCCGGTCAATTTCCGTCCGCGTGAAACCGGGGGCGGTTTCACGGACACACGTGCGCGCGCGAGAATTTTTCACGGTCGTTCGCGGAGGTCACGGTGACGTGATCTTGAAATAGAACCGTAAGGAAGTCGGAATAATTCTCAGTCGGCGCTTGCGACTTGCGTTATTTCATCCGTGCTCGCCGACGGGAATTGAACTATCGCCGGAATCGCGAGCGACTCGAGTCGCTGCGAGTGTCACACGAAACTATCGTCTAACGCATGCGGCTCGTTTTCGTCGCTTGCGGCACACGCTTGCGCGCAACATGCGTCACGTATAGGGCTCGAAGAGGGTCTGTCGCTGCCCCTTCCTACGGCGTTCTTATGGGGTCCTTTGTTACTTGCCGCCTGCCGAGAGCCGTCCGGTCGCCTGCGAACACATCGGAAAGCCTCAATTTCCAAGAGTCAATGTGCGCGCGAGAAAGAACGGGCTGTCCATAAGGAAACATCCGCCGATCAGCGTCCGGAAAGAGCGATATCGTCACGCGAGATGTATCGTTGCGGCAATTTAAGCGAAATGCGTGCAGAACGATGTCACCACGGCACACGATAGATAAGGTTGCTATGGAAATTGCGGAGCTTTACATACGTGCACGTCGTTCACTCTCGCTTTCGTGCTCGGCGCTGATGAGAGAACGGATATTTATAAGCCACCTGTCATGTTCGTTAAAAACACATTAATTCGCATGTCTGGGAATTTTACATAATCATTATCACCGGTCGTACGCAGTCTTAGCCATTGTTGGTTGTGCGACTCTGTTAGGTTGATAAGCAGTAGAGCTCCTCGTCACAGAACGAAACGTCAACCTCGGTACAATTACGATAATATACGCGTATTACGTGTGCAATATTGCATGCACCGTGATATTGTACCGTTCAATTAGCCGTGCGCTCTTCAAAGTGGTTAGAATGAAGATATAATCAAGTAGAACAATCAAATGGGCAGAGGAAGAATGTCACGGCTGTAGCGCGCATGAAATGAGACGAGATATATATAAATCCTTGTTTAACAGTTCTGTGTGCGAGAGAGTTCAGAAAGACGGCGAGAATTCGAGATTTATGTAAACTATTTTATTCACAAAAACCTTCTCACGCGTGTACAAAACTGAAAAACGTAAAACCTCCTCGTCCCTGATAATCGCCGCTTAACGAGGATTTTTCACAGCTGATCCGGCCGATTCCTCATTTAACAGTAATGCAACCGAAGGAATGTCCTTAAATTTTCGTTGGCTCCTTTATCTTCTTCTCCGCGTTCGATTTATCTTTACCGGCCTTCTTCGCAATATCTTCTGTCTTCGACACGAATTCGTACACATCGTTCGCTAAGAGAGCCGGCTCCTCGAATGCAGCGAAATGACCGCCGCGTGGTAAATGGTTAAATTGTATCAGATTAGTGTATTTGTCTCGAAGGAGGCTCTCTGGTGTGTAGAGAAGTTCGTAAGGGAATACCGCGCACGCTGTCGGCACATTGACTGGTATTCTGGAAGGTACACAAACGAAGATTACATTTTGTTAAATAATACTTTGTTAAAAATACGCGAGATAAAGCCGTTGTTTGTTTTCTAAAGAAAATTTTCATTCGATTTTGAAGAGGTCTCGCAAGTAGCTCGCGAAGTGGGACACTCACTCGTCGATTTTGCTGCTCATGTGAGCTTTATTAAATTGCTCAGCATAAATTCGAACGCTCGTAGTTAAAGAATTGGTGACCCAATACAACATGACGTTGTCTAAAAGCTCGTCCATAGTGTACTTCTCGAGCAGGCCGCCATCAGGACGGAATCTGTACTCTGGATTCGTCCACGTGCTGAACTTTTCCAATAGGTATGCCGCCAATCCTGTCGGCGAGGCTGCCACCGCGATTCCTTTGATGAGAATTTTTACTTTGACGGAGAATCTCATAGTTTACGATCGAAACAAATTAAATATCAAATATAATTACAATGGACTGTCAGGTATACAATCGATAGATAACAAAGCTTCTAAAAGCCGGCGTAAATTGTCAATTGTAAACAAAAATTTTCAATAAAACTTTTAATAAAAATTGAACAAGATTAAAAATTTACAACTTTCGGTCTTGTATGATGTTTGTTAAATGTTTTGCTTAAAAGTAAAATATTTGCAATCTTTGTTGAGTTTTCACTCTGAAGAAATCTTTCAACAAATACGATACCTAGAGTATCTGGTTTGCTAGCTTGTATGTGCATATATCCCGACTCCTCGAGTAATCGACTCACGTGGGAGCTTAAAGGGTACATCTTGGAATGATATTCGTTATTGACTACGAGCCATGGGAGAACAGTGCCAATCAATCTCCATACCATGCTAGATGTGCCAGAATTAGCACACATGTTCATATGGCCACCGAGAATGCTGGAGAAAAGAGAGTCATTTTCATATACTTTCTACTTTTCTAGATGTCAAGTCTTGTTGAGTTACTACGTAAAAATCGTTAGTAGCACGACGTACTTGTCCGGGTAGAGACCACTTAAATGTGATACGATAAAAGAGCCCCAGTCTCCTCCTTGCGCGTAGAATTTATTGAAGCCGAGACGCAACATAAGATTTTTGAATATCACAGACATCTGCAAATAATAAGTGAAAAGTAATAAGGAGTAATAAGTACTATGTTATGTTCGTTTTTATATTCTATCGTACCGATAGAATTGGTCAACAGCGCCATAATTGCGTTGTAAATCTTTTTGGTTCAACAGCAATATTATTGAAACTAATATGTTATACGTTGTTTTAATAATTCGAGTTTTAGTTTCATTTAGTTTCATTTATTGATTTAATTAATATGTTTTATATATTTAATTATATATTCTATTTAATTATATATTCTATTCAATTATATATTCTAATAATATATTAATTTGTTTATATATATCATATAATATATTATTAATTAGTGTTTAAATATTTTTGTTATTGAATCGCGATTGATTTACTCCAATTATGGCGTTATTGACTAATTTTATTGGTATAATAGAATTTTTTTATGTAAAATATTAAATATTAAATTCTTACATCAATATCGTTTTTTTGCGATAATATCATAAACGCGTGACGCATAATATACAGCAAAGATATAAGATTATTGTTATGTTGTTGTTGAATGAATTTTACCTGCGATGGACCCAAACCGTTTCGTACGGCTGCTTGCGAAAACGCGTATCCTGGAAGCGAAGGTGCAATCACCTCGAACACAAAGTCCTTGTCGGGACGAGGCGTCGTTAACATGGGAATCATTTTTTGGAATTCCACCACGGATCCCGGCCAACCGTGAAGAAGTAATAGCGGAAGAACTTTCAATTTTCGATCCTTCGGTAACTGTGGCTTTACATGGTAAAAATGTATGTTCAGACCTGTCAAGCCAAATTCCACGAGTTACTCGTTTAATTAATATATAATTTAATTAACATATAATTACATCGTATTTAATATAATAACATCACAATATAATAATATAAAAGAAGTGTATGGAAATATACACAGAATAGGGCAATAACTACTACCATCTTTTGAATATCTTTGAAAAATAAAAACATTTCATTAACGATGAAGATAAAAAGTTAAGATGGACATAAAAAATTTACATTTTCGTGTTCGAAGTGTCGACCAATGATGATGACAGTGTATTTGCTATTAGATCAATTTTTCCGTTCCTTCTCTCGTAATTCGAAAATATTCATTGTAGTACTAGTTATTGCCTTATCATGTAAAACAGTACGCTTAAAAAGAACTTTATTGAACATTACATAAAAGAACCTGGCACTAATTATTGCTTGCCTCTACATAATAGTGTACTAAAAAAGAATTTTATTGAAGGGATCAAATAAGAGGATCTGACATGGCTGTGAACAATGAAACTCGAATTCTTCGAATTGAACTTTCACATCGGTTTAAAAAATTAACATCAATTTGAATAAAAAAAAACATTCAGTGCCGAGCGCGACTGACACGTATAAGACTCATTAATCGCACCGAGTTTATGCTCTTGCATTCCGACGATAATTCGGATACGTGTAATTTATTTTTGCCAAGCGCTGTCCGTCCCTGATTCGTTTTACACAAAGCCGTTCGTGTTGTTTCGGTCAAGTGACGAAAAAAGTTCTAACGGTGCTTTTACGATCGAGTCGCGGATAAACGTTTGTCAATCTGGGTCGATGCTTATTAACGTTCTTTTAATAACACGCAGAGACGGAAGAAAAGTTCGAAAAAAATAAGAGTTTACGAGCTCGACGCTGCTTTCGCCGCTGGTTCTCATTTCTAGATCAACTCTCTTCCGTCTCACGTGTGAACTTGATGAATCATGTTTTTAAAAAACTTAACGATCGGTAGGCGGGAGGGAATTTATTACCTTGTATATTGGTCACATATTGAGGGTACTTGTTTAGTAGCGCTTGCCGTTCGGTCCAGTTATATTTGGTGCGCCAATATTGAACGACATCTTTCAGATATGTTGAACTGACACCATAAGTCCACGCAGCATCCTCTAACGGTTCCACAAATTCCCTCGCATTCTCGAGCCGTTGATTTAAATCGTCGATCACCTTAATCGAGAAGATGCATTTTAAAAGAAAAACCATCGCCCAGTCGCCGATATTTTCGCGGCCGGCTGCACACGAACAGCGAGAACATGCGAGAACGTCGAATCTTATTACACGGCTATGTTGATCCGGTTTACTAACAACTATAGTTAGTGAATTCATGCGCCCGATCGGTGTATTCACTTACATCTGATATCTAATATATTCCAATTAAACGGAAGAGCTCCCCAACAACGGTTATTACCGAACCGTTAATGAAATATCTTTCAGAGATAACCCTTGCCGTGTAATAGCACTCATGAAGTCCGTTTAACGGTTTAGCACTTTAGCGTAAACATAAATAGTAACAAAAAATAGTAACAAAATAATGCCGATAATCAGTGAATATTCACTAATTTTTAGTGAAAACTCTTCCGCTTAGCTCTTTTGTCGAATATTTCCTTGATTTTGGACGATGAAAAATTCACTGCAAATCGCTGTTACGCGTTCCGTAGCAGAAATACATGTCATATATACATTCATATGTGCGATACGCATACCATATGTCGTATTTGGCATAGTTCATGTAATGAACTTAAGAGCTAGAGATTTCGAGTCCCCAAGAGATAAGAGTTTCTGCAGTTAGATTTCTTCGATGGAAATAATTGCTGTTATTAGCAGACTTTTACAGCAAAATATTACTGATTTGCAATGTTACAATTATAATTACTAGTGACAATTGACCACTTCTCAGTGGTAATACACCGATTGCATTTTAGAGAACCTGTTCTTATTAATTTTAGAGAGCCTGTTCTTATTAATTAAAATGTTGTCTAGAAATACTTTCGATTCGAGAAACGGAAATTTTCCACTCCGATTATATGACTACCGTAACGGACTATTCGGCTATCTGCATATAGAAAGAGAGAGCACGAAAATAATGTGCAATGCAGATAAGAGAACGATGAGATAAGAGAACGTAGAAAACACGGTGACAAGAATGGATCATTCTGTTACTTGAACCGAAAGCATTCGTCCGGTATGAATTACGTAGCCTCAACATGACTAATCTCAAAGACTCGTTAACTTATTGTGCATACGTGAGATTTGTCTGTTTCAATACCGCCTGTGGCTCGTATGACTGTAATTCAAATGATTTACGGCTATTATACCGGTTAATATTTCTACTAGTTAATCAATCACTATTAGAGTGTGAGGAAAGTGGACCTTGAAGTTACAGAAATGGTTGAAAAAATACAAAGTTATCTGAAAAAGAGCGGAATCTTATTTGTGTATGTATGTGTGTGTGTGTGTGTGTGTATATACATATTCAGAGGTGATATAAATGTGAACTTAAATTTCAATAATATAGCATATTTAGGTTATAGATAAAGAATAAAGCGCAACTTATATTTTGTACATACGGTTGTCGTAAGCCATAACTCGATTGTTTCTTTTCTTTCGAAATTTAGGAATCGATTAGAATTGAATCAACAGAATTATTGTTTGTAAAATAACTTGACCCCATGACATGAAGCATAATTGAATATCAAACTGCTTTGATATACTTCATTCATTCTTGAAGTGAACTTTTTTGACCTTTAAGTGACCTTTTACGGTCCATTTGACCCATGTTGCTACATACTTTTAACGTAAAATTTCCTCCTCTATCAATTTTCAGTATCAAAAATAGGCCATTCCATTAAAAAAACAAAAGTTCACCTTCAAATGACCTTGAAAAATCCGTGACAAAGACAACGTCACCATCGAACGTCCCGCCCCCTGAACTCTACAACTTTTGTTTAAAACGTTTTTCTCTAAAACGCTTTACCAAAATGATATTTCAGTGGGTCTTTTAAAATGGGACATCCTATATATTCACACTTAGATATGTTATGTATTTATCACTCTACAATTTGCAACGTAACGATACGTTTTACGTAACAGACCGATCATAAACATGAAAATGCAATGTATAATGCAAAATATAACTTGGAAAACATTAATTATACGAACAAGGAGGAAAAATTAGTCAACTTTGCAGTTTCTTACCGATTTGGGCACGTTAATGACGAATGGTCGTATTTCCTTCGACGCTCCTTTATTCTTTTCCGGACCCCAAAACGTTTCCGGCAAATCCGGCACATCTACGACCGTGTTGGACCTGAGCGGGAATGAAAGATCTTAAATGCCGTCGTTTATTCGACGACATTGACTGTTGATTGGTTTCTCTTACATATATTTTAAACGTGAAAAACAAAGATGCGCAAAAGAGGAAGAAACGCAGTTCACTACGGAACTACGCATCAAGAACGAAGCACGAGAATGAAGCATCGAGAATGAAGCACGTTGGTATTATGCAAAATCTCAGTGAAATCTTGATGATTAGAATTGATCTGGCGTTCGCACTCACAAAAATAATTGAGTTATTCCGATGGCGAGAACCAAGATCACCGTCGTAGTCTTCCACATGGCGCGTCTGTCTCGTCTAACGTAGAGCGTGCGACTGGAGAAGCGCGACAAGAGAGCGCGGATATCTGTGCGTACGTTTGGTCAGAAATGGCAGGGGAAATCGTGAGCGTAGTGCCGACAGTGAACTTTGTACCTACGGTGCAACGCTTTTTACTTTGATAATCTACTCAAGTGTCTACTCAGGTGCAATAGAAGATATTCTCGTGTTACCGCGTCGCTTTTAATCTGCAGATTCTTCGACCAACATGAACTCGATTCTCGCATTGCATAGCATTTCTCGGGTGTCAGTTACGATTGAAAAAATGCCTCGATATTTCGCAGAAAAATTCATACTGCGGAAGATCATTTTTTCGTGAAAACTGCGTTTTCTATCTTTCTTCTTCACGTTCACACTGAATCGTAACTGAACTACACAGAAAAAAATGATCAATTCGAGACTCATGTTCTCATATATAAACAAGAATGTATAATCTTATAAGATAATCTTTATGATCTTCTTTATGATATCTTTATATATTATCTTATGAAGACAAAACTTGCTCTTATTTGAGAAAATTCTATATATATTTCCATTAAAAATATATCTATGTTAATCAAAAATAATTTTTATAAATTAAAAGAAAAAAAATATTGGATATAGAATGAACAATATCTTCGAAGTAAAAAAATTTTTAATTTCAAGATGTTTTCTTTATCCAATAATTTTTTTCTTTCTGAATTTATAATTCACATAATAATAAAATATATTATTCACAAAATATATTGCTTTTGCATAGTAAAAAATTTGGTGTCAAATTTAGCACATTTCACATGTCCCAAACGGTCAACTCAAATTTTTTTGTTAATTTAACGCAAGGTGAATATATTAAAAAGTAACACAAATATTATGTAAGAAATTAAAACAAAATTAATATTTATTATATATTAATCAACCTATATGTTAATCAAAACTGAAGTATAAAATGTGTTATTTTAACATTTACACACGTTGAATATCGAATCAACACAAAATACTAAGAACAATAACATAAACTCACAATAAATTAAATTAACACTTAGATATGTTATTAACATGAAAATGTTAACAAGCCGATTTTAACACAAGAACTAAATATAATAATATTTTATTGTGTAATAAGGAGCGATTCTCACGGTCGCGATTATGCTAATAAGCTGTTTACCAACGGTATTGACATGTAAAATACATAGACAATGCTAAATATGCAAATAGACCATGAACCGTTTTCCGATCATTGACATGTATGTGCTCATCTATGCTAGATGACGTAACGTATAAATATAAATCGGGCTATCCGAAATGAGCCGACGATAATATAATACATTTGTAAATACGAGAAATCACAACGAAAATAGGAGAACATAATTATAACGTTATCTCGGTATTTTTTATTAGACTTACAGACTCGCATAGCAACATACGCAAACATCTTAGCTCACCATTCAACATTACGCAACCAAATAGGAAATGATAAAAATACACGTAGGAATTAATTCCAGTCACGCAGTAAATTACAAATCATTCTTCTTGTCCTTGCTGTTCTCCTTATTATTTTTCTTCAACACTTTCATCTGTCCAACGAAGGCCCAGATATCATCCGCCAGTAATTTAGGCTCCTCCATCGCTGCAAAATGTCCACCTCGTGGCATTTTGGTAACGCGTACTAAGTTCACGTACTTGTCTCTCAGTATATTCTCAGGATATAGTTTAATCTCATGAGGAAACTGCACGCAAGCGCTGGGAACGGTTACTGGCAGCCTGTAAAGTAGGAGGCGTTACTTGGTGTTACGATTATTTATAAGAATTTCTTATGACAACGCGATTAATTGCGATATGATTACGTACGTTCTCAAGCTAAGCATGTTCAAGTTCTGCTTGCTAAAAAGTGCCGCGTATATTCTCATGGCCGTAGTCATGCTGTTCGGCGCCCAATACATCATTAGATTATCGATTAGCTCATCGTACGTGAATTTCTCCAGAAGTCCGCCATCCTCTCTAAATTTGTACGAGTAATTAGTACCGGTCGAAAATTTCTCGATAATATACGACGCCAAACCAGCTGGTGAATCACATAGACCAACTCCTGAAAGAGGCACGATTTTTTTAGAACACTTTGCATTCCCATGATCGCTTTATTAGCGTATTAGTAATCACTCGTTTAAGAAAGTGTGGTTAAATAGAGAAATAATATGATTACGAAGCCCAATTATGTCACGTACCGATCGTGTCAACTTTCGTAGCTTGGATATGAAAATATCCGGTTTCTTGCAGGAAAGCGATCAGTTGTTGATTCAATGATATTCCTTGATAGAAATCTCCGGAAGGTGACAGGCTCGAAGGAAGATAGTAGTAAAATAGTTCTTTCAGCAAAGACCAAATGTTTATCACCGAGCACAAATTAGAATGCATACCCAGCACACTGCAATTTCGAGTAATTTTTAAAATTTAGCGCGTCAAACGCTTTCAAGTTTAGCACCAATAAACTCTAGTATTGTGAACTTACTGTTGCGGGAACAGAATCGACATATCAGTGGTGATACAGGCGCCCCAGTCGCCACCTTGGACGTAAAACTTGTCGAATCCGAGTCTCAACATGAGATTTTTCAAAACTACGGCCATGTTGGAGGCCGATAGGCCAGGTATCGTGGCGCCGCTGGAGAAACCGAATCCGGGCAAGGAAGGTGCTATGACCTCGAAGACGAAGTCATGCTCTGGCCTTGCGGTAGTCAACAAAGGGATGATCTTGTAAAATTCCATCACAGAACCGGGCCATCCGTGTAAAATCAAAAGCGGCAAGACACGTTTCCCCTCCGGATTCTTCGGTTTTACGTGCAAAAAGTGAATGTCCAGCCCTATTTAATTCGGTGGAGCATTAGAAATGATAATTATCTGAGATATTATTCCTATATTGTTATAATTTGTTATATATATGTAAAAATAATTTATACGTATATATATATATAAAGATATAATGGTAATATAAATTATTGAATTATTAATTAATTCATTATTAATTAATAACAATAATTCATTAATTAAAGAAGCCTTTATGCACAGTCATTTCCAATAAACAATAATTCGAAATTTTGCTTGTTGTTTGCAAAATAGTAGAGGACATTTTTATTCTCCTCTTCCCTTCTGCACCGTCACTGTGTTTGTACCTGCTTGTCAACGACATTGCATAAATATATATATATATATGTACAAAAAAATTTATACATATTTAAGTGTTTTGAACATTCACTTCGAGCGCGTTTGCATCGATCAGACGGACTTTCCCTTACCTTGGATGTTGGTTTGAAATTGTGAGTATTGATTGATGTAATCCTCGCGTTTCCGAAAGTCATAATCGTTCGCCCAATAGTTCAAAAGTTTCTGCAAAACGTCTGTGTTTGTGCCGTAAGTCCAAGCGGTGTCTTTCAACGGCGGTGTTAGATTTCTAGTATGCTTCAGCCGATATCTTAAATCGTCCACCATCTAAGAATGTTTCATCCGTTAATTAATAATCACATTCTTATTTAGTTCGTTCTTTATTTCCGATTACATCATCAATTGATACCTCTTGAGAGAAGCTGACGCGATATGGCTTGACCTTGTTATCGGCGGACTTTTCGGTACCGTGCGTCCACCATGTTTCCGTTACTTGTGGAATAGTGTAGGTCGTGTTAAAGCAATAATATCTCGAGAGATACGAGAATAATGCCAGGCCGACAGCGAGAGAAATTAGAAAGTAGTTCATTTCACTGGAGAGATCTGTACTCGATACTTTAACGTAAAGAAGATTTCTTTAAATTAATCGACACTAATCTTCAGTTCTCTTGAAGTTCGTTGGTTTCACCGTGAAGAGACAACCAATTTTTCTTTTCGTTCTTTATGTTCTGAACGACGCGTCAAGTACGACTGATTTGCGACTGAATAACGATATCCTTATAAATATTAAATGTTGGCCTTCAAAACATCTGGTGAATGTGATTCAGCAAATATCGTTATAAAATGGAGACAATTTAAGTATACATCACTGTACCTTGTTAACGTTAAATAGCTGGCAATTCTGTGCTTGACGTCTGCAACTACATCGTCGCGTGACGGTACATCGCTTTTATATTATAGAGCAAGGGTTAGAAGATCGCAGCGCTTGTACTTCTTTGTTCACCACGTTCACACTACTAGAGTACGCGCATAAATACATCGGTAAGCTACCAGTTGTGCGGCAGACTCTGATAAATGCTACTATATCATCAGTTGATGTGATCTTGGCTCACGTGATATTGATAGGGACTGGAGACAAACTCGAGAGTCGTTCCCGTCTCTCTTCGCTCCGCTAGGTACGTCAAATAGAAACTGATAAGTATTCGACAGGTACACGGGAAGAAGAGATAAAATACGCAAAAATCTTATCGGAAACGCTAGACGCGCGCACAGATACACCGCGAGACTGACACGTGTGTTTCATAGTTCAAATCGTGATATCTCGTTTTCGTTTCTTCATCTCTCGATATCTTATCTTACCATCTAAATTTCAGTGCAAACACAACCCTCGCATGTTCGAGCCGACGAGTCGAGAGACACAAAATAGGAAACAGAATTCAATGAAAATAATAACAAATACATATATCTTTCGAAATGTGAAACGATAGGTTTCTTGTATTGGCCATTACACTCAGCCATTTTATATACATCTGCCCTCGGATGTATGTTTTTCCTTTCGGGTACCCTTAATGTGATATGAACCTGAATTTTAGCGGCAAATGTCAATACCGGCCTACCTTGGTTGCGCTTAGTAGCGATCAGACTACTTCCTTGATACTGGATCGAAGTTCTCCTCTCTTTTTTTTCTTCCAGTATCTTAACGATGGATAAGTTAGCATTACAACGTGTCAATATATTTTTTACCGGCAATATTAACAAATGAAATGCTCAGACAACCTTAAACACAAAAATATATTATGAACACTATTTTTCTATTATTAACATGTAATTATCTCGCTACGTGTTGTATGAATGTAAATCAGGCGCGCAGCGATGCGTCGTTAATTATTTGCGTGGACGAGTGCGAAGAATTACGATAAAAATGAGAGAACATAATTATAACATTATTTCGGTATTTTTTTATTAAACTTACGGGTTTTGCAATGTACACAAATAACATAGCTTACCATACAAATTTCTGAGAAGTAACCAAATTAGAAATGATAAAAATACACATAGAAACTACTCCCAGTCTCGCAGATTATAGATCATTCTTCTTGTTCTTATTGTTCTTCTCATTACTTCGCTTCAACACCTCCATCTGCCCAACGGAGGCCCAGATATCATTCGCTAGTAATTTAGGCTCCTCCATCGCCGCAAAATGTCCACCTCGTGGCATTTTAGTAACGCGTACTAAGTTCACGTACTTGTCTCTCAGTATATTCTCAGGATATAGTTTAATCTCATGAGGAAACTGCACGCAAGCGCTGGGAACGGTTACTGGCAGCCTGTAAAGTAGGAGGCGTCACTTGGTGTTACGATTATTTATAAGAATTTCTTATGACAACGCGATTAATTGCGATATGGTTACGTACGTTCTCAAGCTACGCATGTTCGAGTTCTGCTCGCTAAAAAATGCCGCGTATATTCTCATGGCCGTAGTAATGCTGTTCGACGTCCAATACATCATTAGATTATCGATCAGCTCATCGTACGTGAATTTCTCCAGAATTCCGCCATCCGCTCTAAACTTGTACCAGTAATTAATGCCGGTCGAAAATTTTTCGATAATATACGAGGCCAAACCAGCTGGCGAATCACATAGACCAACTCCTAAAACAGGCACGATTTATTTTTAGAACATTTTGCATTCCCATGATCGCTTTATTAGCGTATTAGTAATCACTCGTTTACAAGAAAGTGTAGTTAAATAGAGAAATAATATGTATATAAGTGTAGTTAAATAGAGAAATAATATGTAAATAAGTGTAGTTAAATAGAGAAATAATATTAATAATAATTACGAAGTCCAATTATGTCACGTACCGATCGTGTCAACTTTCGTAGCTTGGATATAAATATATCCACTTTCTGCCAGGAAAGCAATCACTTGTTGCTTCAATGACGCTAGTTGATAGAAATCTCCGGAAGGTGACAGGCTCGGAGGAAGATAGTGGTAAAATATATCTTTCAGCAAAGACCACATGTCCATCATAAAGCAAAAATTAGAATGCATACCCAGCACACTGCAATTTCGAGTAATTTTTAAAACTTAGCGCGTTAAACGTTTTCAAGTTTAGCGCCAATAAACTCTAGTATTGTGAACTTACTGTTGCGGGAACAGAATCGACATATCAGTGGTGATACAGGCGCCCCAGTCGCCACCTTGGACGTAAAACTTGTCGAATCCGAGTCTCAACATGAGATTTTTCAAAACTACGGCCATGTTGGAGGCCGATAGGCCAGGTATCGTGGCGCCGCTGGAGAAACCGAATCCGGGCAAGGAAGGTGCTATGACCTCGAAGACGAAGTCATGCTCCGGCCTCACGGTAGTCAACAACGGGATGATCTTGTAAAATTCCATCACAGAACCGGGCCATCCGTGTAAAATCAGAAGCGGCAAGACACGTTTCCCTTCCGGATTCTTCGGTTTTATGTGCAAAAAGTGAATGTTCAGCCCTGTTAAATTCGGTGGCACATTAGAAACGATAATTTTCTGATAAATTTTTCTTATATTTAATATGATAAAAGTTTGTTATTATATGTGTAGGAAAAATGATACATGTATATATATATATCGAGACGCAATGATAACGAGTTGTCACGGTCGCCTGAGTATGGCTGAAAAATGGTCCCCTCTACTTCAAGAACTATTTACGTTTCTACGTGACATATCAGATAGTCATCTCAGTTTGCTACACATTTTGCAGGTTTCAGGAGGTTCAAAACTATTACGTTTTCCAGTGAGAACTAAAAAATAAAACTCTATGCCCAGAAAACTCACTTTGTGTCATTTTTCGCCTGATGTTATAAACCAATATGTCCGCCGAGAAATAGCCGAGTCTTAAAAAGCATTCGAATTTTCTCAAATTTCTTCTATTTTCTCATAATGCCGCTTTTTCTTTCACTGAGTGTAGATATCTCTCATTGCAATTTTAAACGCACTATTTACGAAGAACCGATTCAAGACCTATCACATCGTTGAGTCCTCCTCGGCGTCGTTTCCCCGAAGAGCGTCCGTGAACCGGGGCCACCGCCAATCCACGACTCACGTGCTTATCTAAACGTATACAAATACCGCCGAGGAACCACAGGAACATCGCGTATGCGAAAGCGCTCTCAGGTGCGCGAAGCCTTGCGAGCGCGGCAACCGGTCGATTACCGCCGAAATGCGAAAGCGAATATTCGGGTGGAGAACCGACAAACCGGTCGAAATTCAGGTGGAGTATAAAACTCTGGTACCGCGCCGGGAACATTCGCATATCATCTCGAACGGTTAAGCACGACGATGTAAGCGAGAACGAGTATCGAAGAAGCACAATGGGTACCACCACCGCTCGAACATCACTGCACCGCACCTCCGGGTCGACATTAGTCGTTCCCCACGTGCTAGTGCGGCCACCGTTCCGTCCGACCGACATGAGGTCGCCCCTCCGTCGTACGAGCCCAATTATTATTTCGCGTCTCTTCCACCGAGAAAACGTGATTCCTCCAACCGCTCGAACGCCAGCGAACGCATTTGACGCGGAATTACACACGCCGACCTCTGCTTTTCGAGTTTCTCAGCGACCCTGAGATCGACAAGCTAAACGAGAGGAGAGGGGGACAAGTGAAAGGCGAGCCTTAACATACATGTATATACAAGATGTAAAAACACCGTTCAATATTTATATGGTAGATACATAAATGTTTATATTTCAGAAACGATCGAACTATCGACCTATATTTACTAAGATGTTTTTACTCAATATAGTGTGTACTATCTACCATATAACTATTGAATATATATATATATATATATATATATATATAT